CCGGGGCCGGGGCGGCCGGGGCCTCGGACTCGGCGGCCGCCCTGCAGTTCTACTTGGTGCTGGCGCTGGCTCTCGTCTCCTTCCTGCTCCTCCTGGCCGTCGCCCTGGCCGTTCTGGGCAGACTGCGAGAGGTAACGATTAACCGCCTTTGGTACTCTTTTTCAGCTCCGGAATGGAAGGCAGGTCCCAAGCAGAAACCCAAGTACAGAGAGAGGTCTGTACCTTACAGCTACAACCTGCATTGGGACTCAACTTTTTCAACAGGGAGCAAGGATTCTGAAAATAACTGAAAGGCAACATATAGAAAGGATTTTCTGTTCTAGAAAGACTTCTGAATATCTAATGTCCAGCAGTAATTCAGCTCCCTGAGACTCACAGCTTGCAATCCATACAGGTCAGGAGGAAAGAATGTGCAGCTTGCAGTAGTTATTGTCCTCAGTTTTACAGGTCAGGGCTAGATATTTTAACATAGAACATTGATGTTAGAGAAAACTTTGGCTTTATAACGTTTATATGCAGAGTTTTTAACTGCCATCATGTCTGGTGTGGCAGTCACTCAGGTTAAAGGATTATCCTTCCAATGGATCAAGTAAGGGTTGTAAATGTGTGTTGGTGGCTAAGAAGGCCAGTCCTAGAGCTCAAGACTCTCTGACAAATGCTACAGGTGATGGTTAGAAGGAGGTTTGGAGCACAGCTTTCTCTGACGTTTTTCCTTTCCTTCCATTTCTGTCTTTTTTTGCCTCCAGAGCAAGATGGTTTTCCTCAAAGATGTACCTTATCTCAGAAGGCATTGCCATGTAGCCCTTTCCCAGGCTAGTTTTTCCCAATTTGTGGTGTCAATGCCACACTTGTAAATGTTAACCTTGAGAGTGTCTTTAAAGCATTTCCCCTGGTTCCCACATATCCTTTGTCCTTCCTACACTCTCACCTTGGCTGAGGTGGGAGTATAATTGTTTTGGTAAATGTGTATCTGCTACGCCCACACAGTGCCATGTCCACTGCAGTTGATGCTGAATAATCAACACTTCCATATTGGGTGTGTTAGGGCTTGGGCAGACAATTATTTGGGCCCATGGGCCACACAGCCAATTCTGGGGAGCTGCAGCAGCCAGTCAGCACCCCTCCCCAACAGCCCCGAGCCCATACACCTTGCAGCCCCTCTCCACCATCGCCAATAGCACACAGCCACAGCTCCAATCCACTTTGCACCTGTTCTGGACTCTACCTGGTGGGAGCAGACCAGCTGGAACCCTTGCACACACTCCCAACCCATCCCACACCGCACCTGCTCCTGACTGCCTGCCCACAGTGAGCAGCAGCAGCAGCCAAGCAGAAGCTGCTGCTCAGGGGCAGGGGGGAAGAAGCCCCACTCACCGCTACTCAGTCCTTCTTGCAGAAGCTGCCCAGAGCCCATGCTTGGCTGGCCTCTGGCTCCTCCCTGCCTAGCACTGCTGCTACTGCTGCTTCTCAACATGTGCTGGTGACTCCAGAGCAGTTGCAGTGTGGGCCATGATCAGGGATCTGTGTGAGGTTCCGGCTGGTCTGGAGCTGGTCTGCTCTGGCAGACCGAGTCCAGAGCACATTTGGGGTGGGCCAGGGTTGGAGCTGTGCATGTGAGTCCCAACCAGTACCACAGGGCTAGGGCCACCGGCAGCAGCAGCAGCTAGAAGGCAGCCCAACCATGGAGCTGACCCAGCCCCACTGCATGCCCAGTAGGGCTGTGTGAAGCTTCAGGTGGTGATTCAATTAATAGGAGATTTGGCCCGATTCATTGGCCAAATCTCTGAATCTGAATCGAATCAGGGGACCAATTAAAAGTTCTGAGTTGATTCGAAGCTCTCTGAATCTTTGGAAAAGGTTCAGAGAGCTTCTATGATTTTGGCAGTCCCTGGTGGCTGCAGCAGGGAGCTGCAGCCAGACTCAGAGCTGATAAGTACTAGGGGTGGGGGAAGAGGACCTGGGGGAGGGGACCATGGGAGGACACCTGTCAGCCCCCCTGACCCTGCCCCCTGCTCCCCCAGTGGGCTGGAGCTGGCTTGGGCAGGGCACCCATGCAGGGCCTGGGGGAGCAAGGGGGGGGTTGAGGGGCTCATGCAGAGCCCCCCATGCAGTGTGGGGTAGTGGGGGGCAGCGGGGATCACCCCCTGCCCAGCAGTACCCGCTGAGTTGGGGCTTTTTTTTCCAAAGAGCTGGGAACTGGGACGGGGCAGCCATTGTGGGGCTGGCTGATTCAGAGATTCAGCAGCAGCCATATCTCTGAATCTGATTCAGCCAAATCAATTCGGGACAGTGATTCAAATCACCAAATTGAGACACTGTGCCCCAAATTGGCCAAATCCAAATCTGAAGCGAATACTAGCCGCTTCTCACAGGCCTAATGCCCAGGGGGCAGTAGGATGCACCACAAGCCCCACTGCAGGCTGAACAAAGTCCCTCTGTGGGCCAGATCCAGTCCATTTTGCCAACCTGTGTGTTAGTGTCAGTGAGGATGCTGGCATTTATGCAATGATCCTCCCATTTTATGCCAAGGCTCTTCCACAAGTAGCGCTGGTGATGGTGTTCCAGGCTTTTCACGTGGTCCTTGTAGGTCACCCAAGCTTCACAGCTGTAGAGAAGAGTTGCCTTCTATAGTAGGAGCTTTGTTCAATTCCTGGTGTTGTGATCATTGAACATATGATGATTCAATCTTTTGAAGGCAGAGTTGGTGCATTGGATCCTCTACTGCATCTCCTCATCAATGTTGGCCTTCTTTGAGAGATGGGTGCCAAGGTATGTAGTGTTCAACATTCTCCAGCTCCTTTCCATCCATGGGGATCATTGCCAGAGGAATTAATTGACCAGAGTAGGCAGATTTCATAGATTTCATAGACATTAGGGCTGGAAGGGTCCTTACAAGATCAATGGGTCCAGCCCCCTGTCCAAAGGGCAGGCAGTCAGCAGAGGCCAAATGATCCCAGCAAGATAAGCATCCAAGTGGTTCTTAAGGAATCCAGAGTAGGTTCCTGCACCACCTCTGGGAGGGAGTCTATTCCAGTCAGGGGGGACTTGGAGAGTAAAGAATTTTTTCCCTATGTCCAGCCTAAAACAGTCTTCCAAGAGTTTGTGACCATTGGACCTAGTCTTCCTCTGTTCACCAGGGCACCCCATGAGTTCTCCCAGTTCATGGTGCCACACCCCTTATATATTTATAGGCTACCACCAAATCCCCCCTGATCTTACACTTTCCCAGGCTGAAGAGTCCCATGGCTCTCAGCTTCTCCTCATAAGGCTTGCTCTCTTGCCCTTTGATCATGCTCATGGCTCTCCTCTGGACTCTCTCGAGCTTCTCCAGATCCTTTCTGAATTGTGGAGCCCAGAACTGGGCATGGTACTCCAGTTGTGGTCTCAGCAAGCCCAAGTAAAGTGGGAGGATGACTTTCCATGTCTTGTTTGAGATGCATCGAAAGATGCAAGCCAGAGTTTTGTTCACTTTGCCAGCTGTGGCATCACATTGGTGGCTCGTGTTCATCTTGTGGTCCATTATGACCCCCAAGTCTCTTTCAGACATGGTGCTAGTTAGCATAGCACTGCTGAGCCTTTAAGTGTGGTGTTGGTTCTTTCTCTTGAGGTGGAGCACGTTGCATTTTTCAGCATTGAATGCCATCAGGTTTTGAGCCGCCCACCTTGTAAGTCTGTTGAGGTCAGCCTGGATTGCCAGCCTATCCTCCAGGGTGACCGCACTTCCCCATAGTTTGGTGTCGTCAGCAAACCTAGCCAGTCTGCTTAAAACACCTGAGTCCAGATAATTTATAAACACTTTGAAGAGTACAGCTCTGAGAACAGAGCCCTGGGGGGATGCCACTGGTGACCACACACCAAGCTGATTCGGTCCCGGAGGACTGGAAAAGGGCCAATGTGGTCCCTATTTTCAAGAAGGGGAGGAAGGAGGACCCAGGCAACTATAGGCCAGTCAGTCTCACCTCCATCCTAGGCAAAGTCTTTGAAAAAATTATCAATGCTCACATTTGCGAGAGCCCGGCAGGATAAATTATGCTGAGGGGAAACCAGCACGGGTTCATAGCAGGTAGATCATGCCTGACTAATCTAGTCTCTTTTTATGACCAGGCTACAAAACACCTGGTCGCAGGAGTAGGGATTCATGTCATGTACTTAGACTTCAGGAAGGCCTTCGATACGGTATCCTACACCATACTGGTAAACAAGTTAAGAGGCTGTGATTTGGATGACTACACAGTCTGGTGGGTGGTGAATTGGCTAGAGAGTCGCACCCAGAGAGTCGTAATGGATGGGTCGGTATCGACCTGGAAGGGTGTGGGCAGTGGGGTCCCG